AGTAGGAATTCGTAAACGATCATCCTATCATTTTCCTGATAGATAGGAACATATACACATTTATGCAAATTGAATATCTGCTCCTACAACAGGGTAGAATTCCATCCCACTTCAGTCTCGGATCATAGCCGAGGTTCTCTGAACCCTTCTAGCTAAAGTCTAGGCCTATTGCAAGGAACAAGTGTATTAATTTTTTAGTGTAGTTATAGACTAATAGAGTCAGAAAGTTTAATCTGCTTTTTCTCTTGAGGGGGATGCTTTGAATTGTTGATCTACGGAAAAAAAAAAAAAGGAAAAAAAGAGCACGAGTTTAGCAACGACTTGACGGGGTCTTCCTTGGACACTGTTAAACATATCACTACCTCGAGAAATAGTGAGACACCTCTTCGTTACAACCAATAGTATTTCTTTTTGGCTTCTACAGGAAGATAAGGGATACACGCAAGCATATATCGACACTTGTGAGTCCTCATATCGATAGCGAGTTGACTCGAGTGGGCTTCTTTTGGAATTCCATCGCATGTTTAGGGTAAGTAGGAAAGGCCGGCTATTTCCGGCTGACGTCGGTTACGTGCTAATCAATAAGCCGGAAAGACCGGATTGAGCGGCAAAGCACGTGACTGGCTCCGCTCCGCCCGAGGATCGGACTACGACCGATCGGCGGCAGAAAGTCTGGCTCATCTCAAGAACGAGATTGTTGTGTGCGCCCACGTAAAGGGTCGAGGCGCTGTTACGCACCAAGTGCTGGCCATCAAATAATTACCCAGAGAATAACCAATGCCTCCGGCCGGGTCTTCGCATTTCACCCGCTCTGCTAACGCGTATGATGATGCCCTATTTTCACATGCCCCTCCCCCGCCATTGCTATTAAATGCCGCCCTCCCATTGGAAGGGCGTACGCCTATCAGCTGGTTTTCCGAAAATGGAACCTTTCAATTGACTTTCAGCATAGATGTGACTCGTGCCGACGGAGAAAGGTCAAATGCTCAGGTAACCAGCCATGTCATACTTGCAATCGCCAGGGCTTGCAATGTGTGTTTGGCACTCGTGTTAGACGAGGTTATTCTGAAGCGTGGGTTCTATCTCTTCTGAAGCGGCACCGAATTTCTCTAACGGAATTGTATTTACAGATATGTCCAAAGTCTTCTAGACACCATTAAGCAGCACGAGGAGCATTCGGATGGTAGACCTCGAAGTAAGGCCTCGCCAACCTTTGATTACATGCTTTCATTGGTGAACTAATATGAAATAGCACACCCTCCTCAGTCCAGCCCATCAGCATCTTTGCAAACCTCTCCTGCGCAAGGTTTGAATCCGGTCGGGGCAGCAGCCCCTGAGAATATTGCACACAGCATTCATGGGGACTTCTCACTCAGTCCAGGTTGGATTCTCTTCGTCCACGTCTCTCCGATTTTGCAGTCCCGCTAATGTTTGTGTAGCTACCGAGCTGGCCCCCGGGCCTGCTTTTGAGTCGCGTGTGAGATCGATTATGCGAGAGCATGTGGGCCACTATTGGGGTTCCGGAAGCTCGACTGATGCCGCTAGCCTCGTGGTTGATTCGATTGCAGAGAGCGGCTCTGGGAGTCGCTGGCGGAACACAACCGAGCTGGTCAATGATACAGCACAGCCTGTGTTCTTATCGAAGACTGAGTCCCATAGGCTTTTCGATGTGTTTGTCTCTCTGATGGGCATCAACCAGCATTTTCTCGATCCACGAAGCTTTGCGGATTCGATTGATTTACTGTACACGAACGAAGCTGTGCGGAACGCACAGATGCAAACCATGTGGTTCACACACTATCTGCTGGTTATGGCTATGGGGATGCTAATTGGTTCTCCGAGTGATAATCTGGAGACTCCTCCTGGAAGTGCCTACTTCGCAGAGGCCATGAGACGACTTCCCCCATCACACGAGCTAGGTGCTCATGGCATCACCTCCGTTGAGATACTCTGCCTGGCAAGCTTGTATCTCCAGTGGACGGACCGGAAACATGACGCATACCTATATGTATAACTTGATCTCCACGCCATGCTCTTTTGTTTTCGAAGCTAATTGATAAACGGGTAGATTGGAATCGCCGTCCGCTTGGCGGTAGCACTTGGGTGCGCTTTACCCCGTGACGAACAAGAAGGTCTTTCTTCTGAGAAGTGTCATCGCAATCGCGTTTGGTGGACGACATATATGCTTGACCGGTATGCTTCAAGGCTACGATATTTTTGTTGGGTTACTAACACCTTTTAGTCGCCTCTCTGCTGGTCTTGGTCTGCCAATGGGGGTTGATGAAAGACAGATCAGGGCAGATCTACCGAAGCCGGCAGCTGGTTTCCAGCCTCCTCTCCCACTTATCATTAATATTCAGATCGCTCGTGCCACCGGAGAAATTATGACTAGTGAGTTTCTGAGTACTTGGAGGCATGAAGATTGGACAGGCTGCTTACTTGTTACATCACAGCATTTTATGGAAACACCTCTATCTCACAGGCCGAGCTTGTTAGAAGAATACAGAATTTGCTCCAAAGCCTCCACGAGACTGGGAGATCTATCCCGGCAAATTTCGTAAGCGAATTTGAGAGTTCACATGGCAATGTGAGCAGGACGAATGCATCGCTTTACCTGATGCTGTTTCAGGTACGTACTCCATGCACGAACTCAACACTCTCCTGCACGCTGTTTATTAACCCCCTTTTGTAAAGGCTATTATCCTATGCATTCGGCCTGTAATTCTTCAGTGCGTCAAAGAAAAAGTGCAAGCAACAAAGGAACACCGCCAACCAGCACCGATATCACCAATCATTAGTAGACTGTGCTCTTCTTGTAGAGAAGCTGCAAGTAAAAGCATTCGAATTCTGTCTAAGCTGAGAGAAGACAGAAGCATCGGTACGTGTTTGCTCTATTGTGCTATCAGAATTCGGATCTGACCTTAATCTAAGCTTTATTTGGATACTTTGATTTGGATGCCACATTTTCAGCTGCTTTCATTCTGGCCATGATGGGTCTGGTAGAGAATAATGAAGAGTCACGACCACCAGAGGGGCTGAGCCAATCTGCCATGATCCTAAAATATTTGGGTAAAGCAGGAAACAAGGCCGCCGAACGGAGGCTAAACGAGCTTAGGCAGTTCTGCCTTCATGTCTGGTCTCCCGAAAAGCTGTCCGGAGAGTGGAAATGGCTCAGGGAGGAGAAGGCAACAGCGTTAAGCGTGTCGAATCCCGTGGGAGACCCTGGAAGCGCAAGCGATACTACGCCCTCAAATCCAAACAACAATAGCGACCCAGCAGCCGGAACGTCTCTTGGGCCTGGAATGTGGACAACGTGGAATCAGATGACCCCAACAGGAGAATCTGACGGTGCCCTACTCAATTTTGATCAATTTGATGATTTTCAGATCGATCTCAGCCATGAGATGGGTGACATCTACTCGAGTTTCAACGATCCTGCCTTACCCCTGACGGGCATTGACGAGGTAGACTGGGCCGAGGTTGGGAAAATGTTTCATCTTAGAGACTAAGGAATTATTGGATTTATTTCTTTGGTATTGATACCCAGGATATACATTATTTAAAGTTTTTTCTCTAGTTGCACAACGGTGTCTAACGCCGAAACATTCGCGGAAGCGAAGGTCTCTGCGTTGACTGTTGGCAGGGGCACTCTGGCCTTTCCACTTCCATACCCGAACCAATGTAGACAGGCGGTCTTGACACCCGAAATTCCAAACTTCACTAACTCCCAGTCGGCCTTTGAAAGGTCGGCTTGGATCGCACGTGCCTTCTCAAGCTCTCCGGCCTGATACAGCCTGATAACCTCTCTGTGAACCTTGGGTACAACATTGGCAAGCGCGGAGATGACACCATTTGAGCCAGCGACGAGCCCCGGCAACATAAAGTCCGCCTTGCCCGCAAATGGAGCAAATTGGCTGCTTGGAAGTGTTGCAGAAACACGCTGCAGCTTGCCGAGGTTGCCGCAAGTGAGCTTCACGCCTACAACTTTTGGTGACTGCTGGGCCAGATCGATGATTAAGTCGGAGTCGATATCAATTCCACTTGCTACACCGGGGAAATTGTAGATGATGAGAGGCAACGCAGATTTGCTAGCGACCTGTACCTTTTGTTAGGAATTTGGTTGTGATGCGTTGGTATCTTCTTCGAGAGCTCACCTCCAGATAAAATGTCTTGATAACTGGCTTGGACATAGCGGCTGCCCAGTAGCTGGGAGGAAGCACCAGAGCGAAGTCGGCTCCTGCTTCCTTCGCTGTCTCAATATTGCGAATCGTCTCTCGAGCGCTGTTTGCACTGCACCCACTTATGATGACAGCGTTGCTTTTGGCTTCGGTGATGAGTTTTCGAGCATGTCGAATTACTTCAAGCTTTTCTTCAGGGAATAGATGGGTGGCCTCTCCGTTGCTGCCATGGATAACAAGCCCTGCAACCCCAGATGATAGGAGGCGCTGGATGTGCTGCGTGACTGCGTCGAAATTAATAGATTCGTCGTCATTGAAAAAGCAGACCACTGGAGTGTACACTCCGAATGGTGGTGTTGGCTGAGAGGTCATTTTTCGAACTGAGTTAATGTTGTTATTGGTATCTACTGCCTTGCAGATGACTAGGAATTAAAAGTCATAACATTAGGTACTCTTGTATTATATCATGGTAATATCTAGGGTGGGCGAGTTAAGGCCTAGCTGTCTTGCAGTGAACACACTCCTCGGCTTCGATCCGAGCAGCCGAGCGAGCCTCCACATCCTCCACAACCTCCACTTGACGGGATACCCAAACAACATAACTGGAGTAAAAGAGAAAATGGTTCGAGTGGAGGGTGGAGGGCTTATGTTTGCACTGAATTATGAGTCTTTTAGTCTCACGGCTACTTATGTAGGAAACACTGTTGATCATCCATTTTAAGCACATTATGGGTAGCGAAACACCCTCTCGTTGAATAAATTAAAAGTGCTTTCACATTTGTAGTTTGGATTATAATAATATGATAGATGCTGAAAACTATGTCAAGAAGAATTTCCGAGAAGTCGCCTTGCGGCTTCTTTCTTCAAAGCATAATACTCTTCCTCCGTTCTCGTGACAGCATCTCTATTTTCCACAGCACGACGCAACAAGTATGAGCTGCATTCTTCTAAAGTCCCCCAACTGAGACACTTGTAAGCCTCAGGGGAGATGGTGTTATCCTTATTAATAGCCTCCTGTTTTAGCTGCAACAGGGCACAGCTCACACCATCTGCCATTCCAAGTAGCTGTCCGTATTGCACCTTGATTAGTGGTAAGCCTTCTTCCTTGTGCGACTGTTGCAATTCATACGCCTTTAATACACTTGCACGGTTGTGTGTGGCAAGAAACAGTTCCAATCTTGGAAGCGGCTGATCAACCTGCTCCTCTAGTGGGTACTGCCCATGAAGCAATTTGTGCGCAATACTATCGTATGAGATGTCGGTTTCCGCTTTGGTGTCATTGATCAAATGGCGAGGCTCCGAGTTAATATAAGCACCTCGAACAAGTTTGACCCCAAGAACAAAGTCTCCTTTTCGGGCCTCCTGAAGATGTTTTTGCAGCACTTGCGGTGTGCGCTTTAGATATGCCTGATACGTGTTGAACACTATTGCTTGACCGTTGCGGTTATATTTCTGCATAAGCTCCATGGCAATGAGATCGATTCCTGTCTGGAGAAAATGTTGCTCTGCGTCTACTAGGATCCGGGCTTCTCGTTTTAATGCTTCGTTGCACACGTCTTTAAGAGCTTCGATCATTTGCTTAGGAATGGGCTTCTGTGCCTCGAGAGCACCAGATACCGCGGGACCGGCCCCAGTGAACCTATGCAATTCTCAGTACTTGGAGTTGGAAAGGAGCTTAGAGTCACTTACTTCAGAGCTAGATAGTCACCCTCCCCAACCATCCCCACTGTCTTCAGGACACCTTTTCGCCACTCTTCAATACCCTGGTCTTGTAGGTGTTCTCGGAGAGTACCTGGGGTAGACCCGTCTTTGGGCTCAACTAGGCCGTTTGCAGTATCTTCCTCAGATGTTTTATCAACCACAACTTCAGCCGCATATGTAAGAATCACCCCTCTGAAACCCATGTGCTTGATATTGTTTATAGTAGCCTTGACTTCTTGTGAATTCTCTCCGGCACAGAAGTGATTGTAAAGAGTTCCTTTGAATATCTTCCGAAGCAGAAGATTGTCTTGTAAACTCAAGAATCCCCTTCTTGGTTTTGAGAAGAAAGACAGAACTGATAAAGCTGGACCGAGAAGAAATCGGTGAGTGGAGACAGTTGCAATGAGCAGTGATCGCCATAACATCAAGTTGGGGAGTAGCGCATGAGGAGGCAATTTGCTGGCTGAAACATCTTTTCCCCCTGTTGTCGCAAATCGAACCTGAGGTTTGTTGGAATAGATGAACTGGTTTGAAGCCCGGTTGACTCTGCTGTGATTCAGGACCGAGTACCACCGCCCTGTCCCGACTCTTTGTGGTGTCCCGATTTTCTGCCACCGTATTTTTGAAGCCATTATTACTGCTTCATAAGCTGGTCTACTCCAAAGTCGAAATGGGTTTCAGGAGAAATCGGCCGAAGTGCGGAGGCTGATCGATGTTGATAACACCCTCCACTTGCGGGGTTTGGCTTGTACTACTGTTAGTCTCGCCTTTATCGGAAGAGATTCCGTAGTCAACACCAAATTTAGATTTAGCTTGAAGATAATGGTGGGGATTATTCAGGATGGCGATTGGTGACTTATTAAACCCCTCCTGTATGTTTTGGGTTACTTCTTATACTCATCTATGAGATACATTTACTTTCGACCGGTTGCTCCAAAGAATTCTTTATCTAGTCTATTTTTTCTAGCCCTTGATTGATAGTTTCATTATATGAGAGGGTACCGTTTTCGTGTTGGACATTGGCCATGCGCGAGCGTGGGCATCATGGTAACTTGGATTGGATTGTCTATTTAACGAATTCGCTACTTTTTACCCTGCTCTTCTCGGACGGAAGCCGCGATGGAAGCCGCAACATACTTCACGTTGCTTTCGTTAAGACCTGCTACTGAAATGCGAGAGTTGTCGGCCATGTATATGTGGTATTTTTCTAGTGACCTTTGTTAGCATATCTTCTGTTCCTTCAAGCTTCTTCAACGTTATTGTACTCACCCCTCAGCTCTACGACTACTTGAGATGAGAGACCCAGGAAGCCGAACATGCCTGTCTGGTTGATAAGATGCTCCCATGTACCAGGTGCGCCTGAAAATGAGTCAGCTGTCTTAGTGAGCATGTAAAAAGGGGAAGAAGCTTGTTTCTTACCCTCTTCGTGTAATGCATCATAGAGCTTTTGTCTCATGGTGCGAATGCGACCACTCATTGTCAGGAGGTCCTCAGACCACTGCTTTTTGAGTTTTTCGTCTGTAAGGATAAGGTGGGCGGTTTTAGCGCCGAAAGCTGGAGGGTTTGATACTTGTGATCGTTGAATTTGCTCTAGCATCGACTGGCAGTCGAGTGCGAGATCCTTGGAGGCTGCATGGACCAGCACGGCGCCAACTCGCTCACCGTATAGACCCATAGACTTTGCGTAAGATACACAAATGGCGGCCTCCAAGTTGAGCTCACCGATGAAATGACGGATTGAGAAGGCGTCTTCATCGACCGAGCCAGAGTTGAAACCAAGGTATGCCGCGTCGAAGATAGGAAATAGCTTCCTTCTCTTCATGATCTGACCAATTTCACGCCACTCATCCTTGCTAGGGTCACATCCTGTTGGGTTATGAGCGCAGGCATGGAGTAGAATGACTGAGCCTGGTGGCACGGTCTGTAGCATATTCCTGTATGATGTCATGTCGACTGATTTGGTTGCAGCATCGTAGTATTTGAATGTTTCATATTCCAACCCAACGTCCTTGATAACCTGAAAGTGGTTACCATAAGGGGGGTCTGTGATAATCACCTTGGGTTTCGGCGAGTTGGTGCGGGCGATGAGCTTGCCGGCTAAATGCAAAGCACCCGTTCCCGAAAGACTTTGGCAGGTGGCCACCTGTATATCACGCAATCAGCATCAACAAAGTTCTGGATTTTTGGCAGTGCTATACTAACATGCGAACCCTTGGTGGAGAAGAGCTCCTCGCCCAAAACAGTACGTGCTACAGCTTCTCTGAAACCCGCATGGCCCAGGATTGGGAGGTACTCGTGAATCAGCCCCTGCTCTTGCAATAATCTGCGTGATTCTCGAACTGATGGCAGAATCCAGGGGTTTCCATCACCATCACGATAGGCGCCCTGGCCAAGATTGGCCTTCACAGGCGAGTCATCCTTTAGATATTCGGCTGTGAGTTCAAAGATACGATCGGGAGGAATGCGTTGTGCACCACTGAAGAAGGTGGACTTATGTGTTTCAGAACCCATTTTGATGACTTTGAATATCTGAAGCGAATATCAATATTTGTGACAGGGGATAGACAGATCTCATGTGGCTGGCATGGCTTTTAGATATGAAACTCTGTGGAGTTGTGTCCGACGTCGGGCGCCAATTCTCGGGTATGATCCGGCCATCGAGCAGACCGGAAGTCCTTCCGAAATGCACCACTTATCGTACACGGTTTACTCTTTATTTCTTTCGAAGTTTATTTCTCACTAGCATAGTACTAGCCATGGACAAAGGAGGAAACCAAGGCTATGATGATCTTAATCCATAGACATATTCAATTACACCATCAGCAGCCCCACCAATTATCAGATACTCTGGCCCTCGACGGAGTCATCGACTCACGGCGGGCTCCAATGCCAATCTGATCTTATAAACCGTTAGATGCGTTAGCGAGATAACCGGGTTTGCCATCAAACGGCACCCATGGGCTTCTCAGCTTGTATCGATTCAAATCCTGGACTTTTCAATATCCTGAGTTCCACTGCACCTAAGTCCAGACACGTTCGCCGCACAGAGTTGAATTCCAGAGAAGTACTTCAAATTTTCAACTAGGGATCAATAAAAATATATTTGTAATCATGGTAGAGTTATCCAATGGCCTCGAAGAGACATTCTTCATTATGTCGCAGCCAATTAATCAGCAACTCCGTTATATCCGTCATCCCCGGGCAATACATAATACCTTGATCTTGCCAAAACGATACTTATGGCATTGAACTTTGTACAGACAAGAACAAACATACGAGTCCTTCAAAGATGAAGCAATGGGTAACACTGATGGATGGAATCGATAGACTCCAGGTACAAGAAGTGCGGGAGCCTATCGATATCAAGGAAGATGAAGTCCTTGTTAGAATCAATGCAGTAGCAATCAACCACAGAGATATCAAAAGTATGATAGAATGTGTCGCTGGAGTCATAGATAATACTAACAGCCGTGTCCAGTCATTAATGGCGATTTCAAAGGGCGGTATGCGACTCCCACCGACCCGATGGTGCCTACATCAGACGCCAGTGGCACAATCGTCAAAGTGGGAGGGCCAGCGGCAGCGACAAAATGGCGAGAAGGGGATCGTGTCCTCGGACTCGTGCGTCCGACCCATTTGACGGGCCCTACGCGTTCCGAGCATCATGCTCTAGGCCTCGGCTTTCCTCAACCAGGTGTCCTAACTGAGTACCGGGTGATTTCCGCCTCCGGCCTGGTGCAGATACCGCAGGGTTTGAGCTTCGAGGAGGCAGCAACATTTCCTATTGCAGCTACCACTGCATGGATGGCATTGAATTGGGATCGACCAATCGATAGGCCTGTACGAGGGCCTCAGACTGTTGTACTGCTGCAAGGTACTGGGGGTGTGTCTATCCACGCTCTGCAGCAAGCGACAGCTCTGGGCTTGACTAGTAAGTTTGCCAGGAGTTTTGCTTTTACGGCGTTCGCTAACATGGAGCAACATAGTTATTGTCACGTCTTCATCAGACGAGAAGCTGCTAAAAGCTCAAGAGCTTGGAGCATCACACACGATTAACTACAATAAGATCCCAGAGTGGGCAGACGAGGTGCTAAAGCTGACTCAAGGAAAAGGAGCCGACATCATCGTCGAGACAGGGGGACCTGAAACCATGCCGCAAAGTGTCCGAGCTGTAGCTGAAGGGGGCCTCATCAGCGCCGTCGGGGTTCTAACAGGAATGACCGAGGAGAAGCCGCAGCTGGCAATAGGACTTAGCTTGATCAATCGCAACGCGGTTCTTAAAGGGATCAACATCGGCCCTAGGGACCGTGTGGAGGAGATGATGAGGCTGTATCAGCAAGAGGATATCCACCCCATTATTAATCGCGTTTTCAAGTTTGACGAGGCTAAGGACGCACTAACTTATATGAAAGACGGATCTCATTTCGGTAAAGTTGTGATCAAGGTCAATGAGGACGAATAGTGTTCCAGCCTATCATGATTCATGGTTTAGCTTTATTTTATAATGTTCGGAGACTTGCATTCTGTTTCCAACGATGTCGAACGAGACTGTACGAATATCCCATACTACCCACCATTTCAGGCACTATTGGCCACAGCACCTCCCAACCACAATTAATGCATCTATCGATCTGATATGCGCGAGGAGGACCGTCTTGGGCCAATGGTGGGCTTAGTGTCTTGTCCTGCCTTTGGGGATGGTTCGCCAAATCTTCTCGTTTTCAAGTACTATTTGCACGAGCAGTTCACCGAGGCACGCTGGGCCGAGATGAACCTATGGATGCGTCTACCGGCCAACCGTCACATTGTTCCCTTCGACAGAGTTGTCTCCGATAAACTGGGCGATGGAGATGTCATCGTTGGATTTACCACCAAGTTTATTCCCGGCGGGACCCTCGAGGATAGGAAGCAGTTCAAGCTTAGTTGGTTGAGGCACCTTCTTTCTGTTGTTGACGATTTGAATCTCAAATATGGAATTGTCCATCAAGATATTGCTCCTAGGAATCTTCTTGTGGATTGTGATACAGACGACCTTCTTCTTTTTGACTTCAACTACTCTGCACGCATTAGGGAAGGCGATGCGGGCCTGGCCCGGAACGATGTCAAAGGTACAATCTTCACAGTGTATGAACTCATCACACGCGATTGTAGCTTTAGACAGAAGCCATTTTGGGAGCAGAACTCAGTCGATGTGGAGTCGACGAAGGAATGGGCTAAACACCCAGATATTGAGCTTGACCATCCTATTTCGATTTTCCGACAAACCTTGGACAGCTGGATAAAGAAAAGACGGGAAGTGCAGCAAATTACGAACTACAAAGAAGCCACAGAACACATAGACTGGCCCAAGATTCCCGAGCCACCCGTGCGAAGGTACGCCGCGAAAGATGGTCAGGGATCTGAGGTTGTAAGAACAGTACCCGGTTGGAGTACACAAGTCTGTTTTGCTCAGAAAATGGGGTGGCCGTATCTGACCTGGCAGAGACCGAGGGAGGGGATCTTGGACAAAGATTCAGTTCTCCTGGCAACAGGTACCGTCATTCAAGGACCCGAGATGGCACCTCCCTCACGAAGATAGACTTGATACATCAGCTGATGACTTAAGACTAACTAGTAGTAGAACTGAACCATTTGTGTAGAGAATCTCTCGTATTTTCAATCTCATCACGCATTTGCGCCTCCGTCAACAGCGTATTGTGCCCCTGTCACATATTTAGACTCATCACCCAACAAGAATGCAATGACGTTCGCCACATCCTCCGGAGTCCCCAATCTTGGTATCGGATTGTTGGGCGTAGGATCGGGCATGTCTCTCTCCATGTTCTTTCGATGCATAGGAGTATCAATGGCGCCACTGCTTAGATGATCCGGTTAGCTCTCCTCGGCCGTGACTAAGTTTGATAGAAGTCTCTCTTGGTACATACGGCTCAATAACATTGATTCGAATTCCTCGTTGGCCAGCTTCAAGAGCGGTGCTCTTGACCAGTCCTACCATGGCATGCTTTGATGCAGAAAACACAGCTCCATTCTTGAACCCCCGGCGACCAAACATGCTTCCCACACACACCAGGCTGCCGCCCTCCTCAGGCATGACGCCTTGTCTAAGGACTTCACCAACAGCAATGAATGTCGCTCGAACGTTCAAGTCCATGATAAACTCGTATTCTTGGTCAGTCGTATCTGAAACAGGCTCATGGCCAAGGAAACGGCCTCCTGTTCCTGCAACATTGGCATATCCATCCAAGCGCTTAAACTTTCGTTTCGTCCTAGCTATGAAAGAGTTAACATCGTTTCGCTTGGTGACATCCAACACCTCGTAATGTAATCTTTCTCCGTAAGTCCCCTCAGGGAACGAAAAGGCATGATTGAGAGCATCTCCGTTGACATCGCCCACACTGACGGAAGCTCCTTTGTCCAGAAGTAACTTCGCCGTGGCAAGACCGATGCCAGACGCACCCCCAGTAACAATGAAAACTTTTCCCTCCATAATAAAGTGATGAAAATTTAAGACAAGATGTGGCACATCTGACCGCTGCAAGGCAAGTGTTGCTTAAGTACCCATTGTGTTTTGACCCATGACGAGTTTGGGAGATCTAATGCAACCAGCTGACAAGCATCCACCAGCTTAAGTCGGACCGTGTGCTTGTGGGACCAAGCAATAGCCTGGAACATAGGTTCCCCGATATTGAGAACTTGTTAGTCTCTAGCATTACGCCGGGTTGGTCGTATTAAATGTCAAGGCCAAATCTCCTCGATACATACGCCAGTGGTTACTCGAATCGATAATTTCAGAACATCCTTGAAGGAGCCATCCCCAATTCAGCAGAAAGGCTTCAGTTACTTCCCAATTCCAAGGATTCCAGGGGTCTCCCCATACAATCAAGCCTGTCCAATCACCATTGGGTGTGGTGTTATTCTCCACAATGTCGTTCCAAAGTCGAATCTCTTCCTCCTCGGACATGCCCTCTGTAGCAATTAGAAGGTTGTCACGTATCCTTGGAAATGGAAAGAGGTCTATCCATGGATGATGAGGAGCATGTGACTGGATGCTAGTAGGTATGAGACTTTCGGGGAGGTGGAAAACCTCGTCTTCGTATGGGTTTGTAGGGCCGACGAGTCCGATGTGTGATACAGAGTTACAGTCAAGCCAGTCCACTCTGAGCCCCAACAGTGATGCATTGCTTGTTAGGCTACGTATGAAATTCAGCTGAAGCAACCCCAGGAGTTGGTCCGCTTGCGGCTGGCCGGCGTTGTAACTCTCTAGAGCCTGCTTGGAAAATGCCTCTAACATGAGCCATTTCCGATCGGCGTCCTGCCTAGATGTTTCCAAAACGGATTCGGTAGGCATAAGCACCGTTGCGTTAATTTTATGGTTTCTCCTCCTCTCACGATCTACATATATCATCAAGGGTTAGAATAAGCGGTGGTCAGATTCCCTGCGCCAACTCACATGCGCGTTGATTCAGCATATTTTGCAATTTCTTGCGCTGTTTTTGGTTGACGACACCAGCCCAGTCTTCTCTTCGATTAGAAGTGAGGACCTGATGCGGCATCTGATCAAGTGGGATAAGTAATACACCAGGGTTCGTAGAGTAATGAGGTGTCATGGTTATGATCGGTGCTGGCGCAGATGATGTTCAAGGTGCATCCCCTCCCATAAAGCAATAGGCCATCACTAAATATGCAGCCCGCTTACTGACCTGCATTTCCCCTCAATGATACGTTTGCCCTAGCCCGAGCTAATGCAACCAGCTTATATTAGTGGGGATGAGTCGGCAGAGTCAAGAGAACACACCACTCAAGAGCCGGCTGCGGCCTGGACTAATAACAAAAAGTCTACGGTACAAGCACGGATTGTTCATATATATGGCTACTTTTAGGAGAAGCAAGACATGTATGTTCCTCGTTTACCTGCTGCTATCTGTTACAATCCATCGCAAATATCGAGCCAGATAATGCCTCTTAACTACCTTCATCCACTTCATACGCCAGAGAGAGGTGGTTGAGAGACTTGATCAAGGAAGGTCATATATTCTCATGTATTCAATGGCAACTATGTGTGTATGTTGTTGAAATGAGAAGAATATTCATATAAAACCATGCAGTGAGCCTTTTGTATTGCGAACCTAAAAACCCAGTACACGGAGAAGAAAGGTTCAGTTGAGGCTTTGTCAACAATATCTCAAGGTAGCTTAGAATATATGTGTATGTCTCCAAGAAATCTAACGAACAACATCATGCGATCAGCAATCTTGCTTTCTTGAGATACTTCTTGAACCCTGTCGCTGCCTTGGGCGCCTCCTCATCTGCTCGGACCTCGAGAGCCAGGATAGCGTCCAAATCGCTGGTCAAGTCTACATCCTTTGGGGCTATAAGCCACGGCGCCTTCCATTCATAGATGCGGTGGGCAAGGTAAATGGCGAGGAAGATGGGGAACCCAATGTACGCAGTCAAGAAGTCGGCCACGGACCACTTTCCGGGGAAGAAGACTGAAAAGCCATTAAGTAGGAGTAAGAGAGAAAAGAAGAAGATGGTCGCGTATGCAGCATACGGCTGTAGGCGGGAATGGAATGGCAGGTCAGTGACGCCCTGAGCTTTGCAAGCTTTGCGGAATCTGAGCAAGATGATGCTGCAGGACACCCAAGAGGTGAAAGCCGCCGTGTTGGTGAGGTTGATGAACCAGTTGAACACCACGGTTGCGCCCTTGCTGACGTTGAGATAGGCTAGGAAGCTGAAGGTGATACTGGCGCAGAGAGCATAAACTGGAACACCCCATCGGTTGGTCCGCTGGAAGATGGCTGGAGCGTTGCCGGCTTTGGCCAAAGAGTAGAGTGATCGGCTTGACATGTATAAGTAGGAATTGCCTGAGGACCACGCCGAGGTGATGATTCCGGCATTCACCACGCTGTCGAGGCCACTAACTCCTGCCTCCTTGATTGCGATGACCCATGGTGAAGCGGCAGCTCCGGTGCTTCCATCAGTGAGGCCGGGTGCGTTGCTGCGACAGATGATGCCGATAGCGAGGGAGCCGACGACGTAGAACTGCGGTTTGTTAGTCTATTGCGAACTCGATAAAGCACGATGGAAGTTCTAATGGTCTAGGAGGCCAAACTTACGAAAAAGAGACGCCAAATAAATGTCTTGGCCGCCCGAGGAAGATTCTTTCGGGGAGACTTCATCTCACCACCGGTCAAAACGATCAATTCAGGACCGAAATTGAAGGAGAAAACAGAGAAAACCATGGAATACACAAACGCGCAGAATCGACCCGTGTCTCCCGTGACGAGATATTCATTAAAGGCGCCTGGATCCTTCCAATATTTAAAGAGCAGTCGCCCATTGCCGTTGACATTGCCCGCCCAGAGCGCAAATGCAAAGAGGAGCAGGCCAATAATCATGAAGACCTTGATTGAAGCAAACCAAAACTCGGATTCGGCATAGACACCCACTGGCGCGACATTCAATGCAATGATGACAACCAGCATAATTGTAATCCACACGGCAATATGTACGTTGTTTGGCCAGTAGCTTATGACAAGAGCAGCGGCGGTGATCTCGTATGCGACCAGAATGCCAAAAGAGTACCAGTATAGCCATCCCATGGCGAACCCCAGGCTCGAGGATGCGAATCTCGTCCCGTAGTAGGCCATGGAGCTCCCCGGAATGGGTAGATATGAGGACACCTCGGCCGTCGCAGTAACAATGCCATAGACGAAGCAGCAGATGATGATGTAGCCGATGAACAGATTGGCGGGACCCGCGCGCGCAAGGGCCTGCCCGGAGCCGACGAAGAGACCTGTTCCAATGGTCCCTCCGATGGCGATCATTTGCGCATGCCGTGACTTGATGTTTCGCCTCGTCTCGGTGCGGATGTCGGCCGTTTCTCCAACCTCTGGAGCGTCGACGACGGGCGTCTCTGTCTTTTCGTGGTCGCCATCTTCTGGTTTGGCCATTGCTAAAACGTATTCGGAGAGATCCGAGATCTTGTGCTTTCCGATTTGTTGGGCGCTGTATGCCAAGTGTTTGCCCAGACTTTGCCAATGCTTGGACTTGGCGATGGAAGACGACGAGGATGAGGGGTGATATGAAATGTTCAAAAGCTGGAGCCCTATGGGAAAGGCGGTAGAATTACTTTCTGGATTCTAGAAGGGAGGGTTACATCAACGAGAATCCCGTGTCTTCCTTTTAAACATAAAGTACAATGCAGAGCCGGGGAGTGGCACGAGACATGGATGTTAGACACTGCGCTAGACACTGACAGGCATGTTAACGAATAGCTTCTGCGCATGCCACTGTTCTTTACTCTCTGTCACTGAATAAAATCCCTTATCGCGCCTAGAAATAACAACGGGTTTGAATATCATCATTAAGAGGTTCCTCCATCACCTGATAGAGATAGGAAGGTCGCATGGCATCGACATGGCTCCCGGCCGTCACTGATAAGCGGCAGGCAATACAGTGAATCAGAAAGCACATGACGCCTACATAAGGCCCAAAGAGTGATAATAACCATGTCTAATGCGGGGTAAGAGCAGCTGAAGGACATGGATTATAGAGGCCGCCTGTCAGAATACTGTCTCGGATCTGGAGAACTAAGCTCATTGTGAGGAGTGATTGGATATTGGAAATCAATTTATGAATAATTCGATATCCTCTACTTTGTCACATTTGTATTGCGGTCCCTATTTAAGGCTGACAGCATATTTGGGAAACCAGTGATGCGATAATACCTGGTGATGCCGGAGGATTACGAGATGTCAGACTCGAAACGTGGTACGACTATCCATCCCTGTGCAGCCCACCCATGAAGAGACCGAGATCAACATGCAGACACAATATCAGTGGAGTACAGGCTTGCCGCAGTGGAGCTGCCAGGAGACGAATTGATGAACAACATCGGATCCCATGGCGGGCCATCCGAAGAACATGACCTCGGTTGTCGGATAGCTCGTCCGGGGGCTAAATGGCGATATTTCAATTGCTAGCATCTTTATGTAAATTCAGTCGCAATGTATCCCTTATCTGGCTTAATATTGAAATTTATGTACGTAGAATCCTCAGCCTGGGTGGTTCATGGCATATCATGGGACAAGGCCTGATGCCTGGCTCAATGATAAAGGGGGTCCTCGCCAATAAAAGATGCATGATCAACCAGTATATATGATTGTCTAACACCTATGTCATAGATATTATTCATGCAAGGGACCGATCCACAAGCGACTTATCCGAGTTGCGTAGTCCTACCATGATCTGTATGATTTCGTCTACCAAGAGTGGCCTCCCCTCGCCCGGGTAATTCGCATGCAAGTGCGTTACCACGGTATCCATTACCGTTTCATGGCATGCCAATGGGACGTTTGAAGTAGACGAAGCATACGCCGTAGCATCTGCGGACGGGATTTGGATGCATGGAACCCCATTGCCGAGCTGCATGAATCGCTGCACATGAACGCCATCCGTACCATCTAAAATCACCTCCCTCCCTGAGCTGGATCTCGGCGAGCGGAGCGTGTCTCTTGGATGATCCTCGCAAGCAACCCCATACACCCAAAGGGCGAGGCTGGCGTGATACATCATGATAGCTAATGAATCCCGAATTTGCTCCTTCGGTATCAGCCGGGCTGCTCGCAAGATCTGTCCCGCATGCCAAACTGCCCTGCGTGCTGATTCACCCTTAGCCCAGTCTTTGATGATGGGATAGATGGCAGAAGACCGTTCCGGGCCTTCGATACCAGCAAACACTTGGACGTCTTCGATGGATATGTACAGATGCAAGAGAATCTGCTCAGTGCGCATCGTCACATCTGGGGCGAATGCCACACCGGGCTCTGTGCTCAGCCGGAAGTGCTCAAGAAGCTTCAGCAGCTCGTCCTGGCGGGACTTGAGAACAATGCCACTCCACCGACCAGGGGCAGTGCGCTGCATGGAGTTTAACTGGATGTACTCCCACGCCATACTCCATATACAGGAAAGAAAGGCGTGACTTCTGCTCAATAAATCGTTCCTGTTGGTAATTGTGGCGAATAGCCTCGGGTCCTCAAGGTAGGCGCCGATAGCCGGCGGTGATTCGAGTATTTCAGCCAGAAAAGCCTCCTTCCACCGCTCGGCTGTTGGGGCAGACCACAGCTTGTCAGAGGCGGGGAGAGGCAACTTCAGTTCGGCGTAGGAAATCAGAGGGTTGGTGAGGAGGCTCGCTGAGGAATTACTGTCGTGCCGCAGAATACGGAAACATATGCGCTTGAATGATTCCTGCTCGACCCATTCAGTCCAGGTCTCCTCAAGCTCTTCTCCCCTTGTATTTTGACTGAGAGAAATATCGGGATACGAAGAGTTTTTGAACCTTCCTCCTCGCCGAAGCATGGTCAATATTGGTTGTAGAAAGCTCTCCGCTATTTCGACCTTGCGACTGTGCCCACTCCACAGGCCAATCTCCAAAGTGATATAGAACGCTTGGGTCAGTTGGAGGTCACGAATCAAGGCGTTCTTGCCCTCCCACTGAATAGAGAGATACTTTGATTAGCGAGAACTCGCAATAGTTCACTTGCTGGAGAGACTCACAAGTGTGGGTATAGCGACCCTCGCTGACTCTTGCATAGCAAACCCCAATTTCAGAAACGTCGGGTCCAGTGTTAACACAGCACCATGGGCTACCATTGCCATAATTAACTCCGATCGTTTCTTGTTTGGGTCGAAGGTGGGAGCATGCAGAAAGTATCTTGCTTCAGACGAAGGTGAAGAGAAATAGAACTGCAGCAGTGAGTCTAAGAGATTTATCGATGGAAAGGATGCCGCTGCTTTGAAAAGACTGTCTGTCCTGCAGCTTCTCATGATCGTCGTTATAAGTTTATCCCGTCCAGCTGTAGCCAGGCTTGCCGAAGTAATTCTTGTTTCAACAGGAACTCGTTTCTCAGGCGGATTGTGGCCGTCGTCCGTGAGAATCAAGTTCTCTTCCTCTGCTCCGCCATGGTCGTTGACTCCAGGCCGAAAACTCCAGTGCGACGTCCGATAGGCGTCTGTGCATATACTCTTTGGCGTGGAGCCCGCGCCCTCACCCATCGAAAAGATGTTGGAAGGAGTTGGCGTATATTCGTCGGCACCGAAGGGAATATTAACATTATAAGAATCCAGAAATCTAAGGTCGATGTCGTCTAATTCCATACTCATGTCCGGGTCGAAGTTGAATGGCCCAAATGGGGTGCTGGTTCCAGATACAAACAACATGTCTGGATGCTTCGGAAATGATCGGACTTCAATAAAGTCATTTGCTAATATCAAAATTAGACAAGTTCAATTGGATGGAATTATTTTCTCGCTCCACGGAGGAACTTATTGCTTACTTATTGCTTGTGTGACATCAAGGTCCGATAGTAGGTCTTCTTGGAGGCTGTTCTCCTGATAGGTCGTGGCATTTAAGTCCTTGCCACCTGAATCTTGTAATGATATGTCTGGGGATCTTGTGCTCTGTTGGGGCACAGTCTCCGGGGGTGTGAAGGCGTTCTCGGCATCAAGGGGACGACTACTAACACACTCGATGCCTTTGGACACACAACGGCGACATGGCTTCGTCTCGGTACATCGGAGGTGGTTCGCAGCGCAGGATTGGCAAGCTTGTGATACTCTACTCAAAGAACTTGAGCTGCCTTCTGAGAGGGATGGGTTGAGGTGATCCCCTTTAGCTTCATGTGCGGCGATATGTCTTTTCAGAAGGTCACTAGATAAAAGCAGAGGAATGTTAGATACGGCATGCCATAATACGATGTGATATACTTTTACTAACATCCGAGTAAATGCTTTCTGGCACAGGTGACACTGGTGTGGCTTTGAATCAAGATCTGTAATTTGCATTTCAGTATGTCAGCAGCCGGATTGCCCCGATTCGTAGGCGTAGATGGTCATATCAGATCAATGAACTGATAATTAATGCAGAATACAATACTCACGAGAGCGAACATGGCGGGTAAGATGGTCCGGCCGCTTGTACTGGCGCTGGCAAGAGCCGCATTGAAACAGCCCATTGCCTCGAGTGGCCGGCATCGTATGTTCAGGTATACGTTAAACAAGCATGAGGGCAGGTTACGGAAAGTGGAGGGCGAAAGATGAAGACTACGAAGTCATAGATCGGGACGTCTGGACAATGTGGGCAGACAGGGTGATCAAATGGCCTGAGACGGACGGAAGTGGTGAGATGCAAGATGCAGGTTTGAGGAGCATCTCGGGGGATTTGCGGGGAAGCTGGGGCAAAAACAGGGGGTCCTTCGATCGCCCCATAGCGGGATTATGCGCTAGCAGCCAGTTACAGGTATTTACAACGGAAGTCATTCAAGTTGTTTAAGAGGTCTTGGTTTTAGCTGATGGATAGGGGGTGTTCGTCCACGAGACCAACTTGCATCACAATGGGAAAGGTTTCGCGCTCTTGTACTAGAATAACGATCATCTGCCCAGTTTTTTACAGTGTGGATTTAATCTAAAAGGCTGGTATAATTACGGACAACTACATTCTCTAACTCCCCCCCCCTTTCCGCAACTCCACTCGGGCTACCTCCTCCACTTCCCGAGCCGACCGCAACAACATCGTCATTCTATGAGAGAAAGCTGCGGTATAATGCATAAGGCCCGCTCATGCCCCAAACTGTCCACCGGCCTCGGTGTTAAGCGTAGATACCTTACCGTCTTTCGATCATGGCACCTACCACTCTCACATCCTCATTGACCCCGGTCCACTTATTCTCCCATGGATCTACCATGATGTTGGGTGAGGAGTCAGAAGCTGCGACATACTGGAAAAGGGCAGGAGATGAAGCCCTGGCTAACAAGATCAAGGGTGTCATCATGATGGTAGGATAATACAAACAGCCGTGCCTCATCTTTAGTCTCATTCTGATTGTCTTAGGGCGCGCATTGGGATGCCTCTCATGACAGGATAGAGGTTGCAACCAACCCCAACCCTGGAAAATCGCCAGTCGCCTATGTTCACCCCTCCAAATACGTCGACTACAAACTCAATCCTGACCTTGAGACGGCTCAACGCTGTGTTTCAATGCTTGCCAAGGCTGGGTTCAAGGTGTCAGGCAATGCAACATTCGATTGGATTCATGACACATATCTAATCCTCATCCGCATGTTCCCAGATCACTGTCCACCCACAACCCTCATTTCCATGAATGCTCGATTTGACCCCCATTACCACGTCAAGGTCGGTCAGACACTGCGTTCTCTGCGCAAGGAAGGCTACCTCATCATCGGCTCGGGTGGCTCTGTTCATAACCTCTACAGAAACCATTGGGGCTCCATGTTGAGATACTCTGACAACTTCGCTCAAGAGGTCCCTCCCGAATACTGGGCTTTAGAGTTTCGTCAGGCGTTCGAGGATGTTGTGACCAAAAACTCGGGACCGCAGTTGCGTCGTGCAGTGACGCGCCTCATGAAAAACCCGCTCTATCGAGACGCTCACCCCACCGATGATCATTTTATGGCATCTATGTTTATTGCCGGCGCGGTTGGAGATGAGGAGGATGAAGGCGTGCACGGAGAGTTAAAGGCCGAGACATGGGAGTTGACCAATATGTGTAATAGCCAGTTTACATTCGGGCGCTGGCCAAAGACCCCAGCAGTTAGTGTTTAAGCAGAGCTATGTGTATGTCAGAATATAATTCTATTAGTGTTCATCCTACTCCCTATGAGAAAAATCTTATAATCGAGATGCAACGGGTCCTAATTCCTACGACAATTGTCAGCGATTAGCTTGGAACACTGAACAATGATGCCGTAATGACCCGGTAAACTTTTGCAGGTTGATAAATGATGATTTACGAAACTTTATAGACTTGAAATTTTTGAATTTTGCCAGACTATATCCAAATGTATACTCTCTATATAAATTTAGGTGGGATAATAGGCAACGTCACAAAGTTCTCAAATTGAGGACTGAAATGAATACGGTTTGTTCCTTGAAACTTCTCTGGGGACCTATATTCACCGAATTAGCAGCGCTCGTGAGGTTTTCGTGCGCAGTATCAACTTACCGATCAACAGGATCATCGTGGAGGAAAATTCCGGATCCCTGGGTGTCACCTGAGGAAACTTCGAAAACAATCTTGCCACCCTTTTCAACAACCACATTCGTGGGCCAAATCTCCACATCCACCGCATAAACCTCTCCCTGGATAACTGGCAAGATATCTGCACTTGTATAGTCGCGGTGTGGAAGCCAATCCCGGTACCTGGGATGCTCTTTGTTCACTTTTCTCAGTGAGACTCTCAGCCAACCTTTCGTCAGCGGAACTGGATCACCAGCTGTCCCAGTATAGAAAACCTCCTTTCCTTCAGGGGAGATGTGTCGGAGTGTAACGAAGAGATCAATGTCACTCGGAGTTGGGCCATTCGGGTCTGGTGTCACGGAAACATTTAGATGCGCCACTACATGTCCTGTGATCTCAGTTTCCACTTTGAACGGGTCAGTGGTGAATTGAATCAGTTGCGGTTCCTTTATAGTGCCGAGCGCCTTGTAGCCCAATGCGCCAACGGCGGTTGGGGGTTCCGTCGACAGGCCTTGGTCCTTAGTAAGAAAGAATTTGGTGTACTGCGTGCGTCCAATGGGCCATTCATTCTCTTCTCGCCTCGGATAGGCCTTCTCCTTCTCGGCATCATTGAAGCCGACATCGCCTTTCCGAAGGACAAGACTGACCTGTGGCACCTTACCCTCCTGTGACCAACCAACTCGGTCATCGCCCTTTAAGAAGGCGTCAAGGAAGCTACGCTGCACTTCAACTTCCTCGGAATAGTAGAATGGAAGGTCATGGCGCCCTGTGATCATTCGCAAGTATTTGAACTTGGAGCCCGCCTGGGTGAAGCCCTCGATATTTCCCCGTAGGTGAAGCAGAATTCCGCCCCAGTTTCCTACTGATAGTAGAGGAACTTCGATGTCTCCCATATGGTACTCTTTCGATGCGTAGTACGCTTCATCTCGAAATCGATGCACTTGGTTGTCGACGGTTTGATCATTCCGGTTCGCCAAGAGCTCTTCTTCTGGAAGATCCCCCTCGATCGTGTCAGGGCCCCAGTTACTCGCATTCCTGCCAGGCCGCCCGTACTGGTTGGTAATGACCTGCCGGTTCCACCAAAACTTGATGAATCCGTTGGAGTGAATGCCTCCATGCCTACACCTGTCCCTGTAATAGTCGGACATGCCTTCCCATGGGACTATGGCTGCCAGCCCTTTGGGTTTCCGGGCAGCAACCCTCCATTGGCTGCCAGCATAATAACTGATTCCAAGCAAGCCAACCTTTCCACTGGACCACCTTTGCTCAGCAGCCCATTCGACAACATTGAAAAATGCCTCGCTTGTACCACGGGACATGGTGTCAAGGAGACCTGGTGATTGGCCCAACCCGCGCTCATCTGCACGAACTACAGCGTAGCCATGGTTGGTCCAGAATCCAGGATCGGGTGTCTCCCATGCCGAATGTGCAGACTTGTGCTCTGGGTTCACTTCAGAGTATGACTTTGCTTGAAAACTATTGCTCCAGAGTTAGCCTAGTTCACCAAAAGCTTTGAGTCGGGGGCTCTTACTCTCCGTAGTGAATATCCTTTCCATATGGGCCGTAGGTCACAAGTACCGGAACCGGGTCGTCCGTCTTCGGGCGGTAAATGTTGCACCGAATAAGACCTTGGTTAAGAGGCAGATTGATTGTTACATCCTTCTCAAAAATGTATGGGAAGCTTGTCTCATCAACCACCCGGAGATCCTTGATCGGGTTCGGCATCTTGGAAGGTCACAATCTCTTTCCAGTGCCAAAGCCCAAGCAATAAAATCCTTTGATTTCGGACTATTATCGCTGAATAATACAGTAGTAGAGGCGGGATGTGAGCGCCTGGATAGTTGAATAACTGCCACGGAGTACGTGAAAGAACGGGCCTCCAATTCAATACCGGTGATTGAACCGTTATGAACTTCAGCTGTCATCGATATGTATTGCTTATAATTAGAAAGTTATACAATAAATACTCCGCTGAGCTATTTCTTCCGACAGAAACATGTGCCGGATTCTACCCTCCACCTGCCCGAGCTACCCGAAACTCGTCCCGCCCACCTTACGAGCTTTCGCGGCTCGGCATCTCATGTACAATACCCTTGTAATTTTGAGCGCTGAACTACGTGTCACATGTGGCACGATTTTGGGAATAATTGGGAGTCTCGTGTGAAGTATTCATGCGGAGGGCTGAAAATCGTTAAATAACCATGAAAACTCCCTCTCTAGGTCATATAGTCTAAACATTCTCAAAGTTATCTTACTTCGACTGTCATAAGATCAAACCAAGAAGCCTCTGGTGAAAGCAACAGTAAAAATGACGGACAACATTGATCGCCCGCTGAAAATTGTCATTATCGGGGCAGGTATGTTTCATTCATGTCGTGGTGTTTCCCTGAGCGTGCATTGATGGTGTGGTGTAGGCATTGCTGGCCTTGCTGCGGCGCTTGGACTACGCAAAGAAGGGCATCAAGTGACAGTAAGTGCATCAAATCTGTTATAGCTATCAGAAACGTATAGTAATTGTTACCGCAGCTTCTCGAAAGATCAGAGCTGGCCAAGGAAGTCGGCGCCGCCATCCACATCGCCCCAAATGCACATGGTTTACTCAGAGAACTCGGCGTGTATCCTGAGACATTCGGTGCAAATCCAGTCCATGGAGTGAGTTTGATAATTGGGCAACACAGTTTCGAATGGTCATTCTAACACTTATTGAAGCTTACTGAGTATGATGCGAAGAACGGAGCTCTTCGCATGTCTGTGGACTTGAGAGAGCAATTGAAAATGTGGCAACATGTTAGTGTCAACTATTCCTCTTCTTTAGGCGCTGAAAACTGCAATAGGACTAACCATATTCTAGCCTTGGGTATTGTCACACAGAGTCCTGCTTCACGAGGCACTAAGAGAGCACAGTCTCTCACCTGAAGGGGCCGGCCCTCCAGCTATCCTGAAGACCTCTGCAAAAGTCACCCACATTGACCCTGAAACCGCGACTGTCACTCTAGAGGACGGATCTGAAATATCCGGGGACTTGGTTCTGGGAGCTGATGGGGCGAGTGTGAGTATCCGATTCACTATTTACAAACACCTTATCTGAAGTCTAATGCTCTGCGTTAGTCAGTTTCTAGGGGAGTAGTAGCTGGAGAAGGTTTGAAGCCATTCGCATCTGGAAAGAGTGCATTTAGGTTTATGATACCATGCAACGAGATATTGTCCGATCCTGAAGCTGCTACTCTATTCAAGGAAGGATATTTGTGCCTTTGGATGGCTGATGACCGAAGGCTAGTCATGTATCCCTGCTCCAACAACACGATCATGAACTTTGTCGGTATTCACCCTAGCGCTCTCTCTGAGACAAAGAGAGCAGAAGGTAAGACTTTCATTATCCGTCAGTGCCGAATATTCACTGACGAAGAAGTTTCAGGCTGGGATAATGGGGCAAGCAAGGAGGCCTTGCTTAAAGTGTATGAAGAATTTGGGCCTAAGGTGCAAGCATTGCTCAAGCTGGCAGACGCTTCCTCTCTGAAGATTTGGACTCTTCTAGATATGGATCGAATCCCAAGATGGTTCAAAGGAAAACTTGCTCTTCTTGGTGACGCTGCTCATCCATTTCTACCCCGTGAGCTATCCCCAAGCACCCATTTGCAGCTCCAGCTAACGAATAATCCCCAAAAGATCAAGGACAGGGAGGTAATCCAATCTCTTCTCTAACCATGAAACTTTTACATTTTGCTGATTTATAACATCTCACTAGGGTCTGTGGCTATCGAGGACTCTGCTTCACTTATTGCATTACTTCCAAGGGGAACCAACCCAGCAGACCTTCCTGAACGATTAGCTCTATACGAAAAGATAAGAGATAAAAGAGCTCATGATATCCAAGAGTTCACCCGTCGGATGGGTGCTGATATAAACGATGAAACTCGAGGCAAAATAAACAGTATGTACCATTTCAACCTTTCAAAGCACAAAATTCTCTGTCTAATAGCATCATGCAGTCATGGAATTCGTGAATTACAACTATGGCCATGACGAGTTCCACAATTCCAGACATGAGTTGAAGAAACTATTAAGTTCAAAGAATGGGCCCACCTACCTTCGCCAGCCGATTGCTTTTGGTCCGTCGCCCAGCCCAAGGCAAGATCACTTTGGACGGACCTACTCTTCGGAAGATGCAACATTTACCACCTACACCATCAGGTTTAAAACTTCGGCAACGTATTTGAAGAATTTGTTCCCGGAAGGTGTATTCAGCTTTGAATCACCGGGCACTGTTGCAGAAGCTACCCTCCGCGCGACCGAGCTACACAATCTACCATGGCTAGGCGGCGGCGGCTACTGCTTCGTTGGACTATGGATTCATGGAGTCCAACACGTGAAGAGGGATGGCACAAAAGTCCTGGGGTCCTTCATCCCCATTCTCTTTGAGAATTTGTCCGACCCCATCCTCACTGGAAGAGATGAACTGGGAATGCCAAAATTACACTGCGATATTGAAATAAGGAAAAACTCTGGTCGGACGAAGATCTTTTGTGCTTGGAGAGGTGCAGAATTCCTCGACATGACTCTAGGCTCTGCCCCGGCTGGAACAAACGGTGTGATTCCCAATGGTGTCGATGAAGCCTCAAGGCAGGGGTCGGAGGACAATCAGTTTGTTTATCGATACGTGCCATCGGTGGGAAAACCTGGAGAGGCTGACGCTGAATATCCGGCAATCATCCCCAAGCCTACCAATTCTCCAACAGTTGTCCATCGGATGAGGCATGGAGATACGAAAGATTCTGGCATTGAATTTACACCAGGAAATTCGGAAACATTCCCCACTATCCACCACATTACTTCGTTCTTAGCTGCCATGCCTATTTCAAACATTCTTGAGACAAAGACTGTTGAAGGAAGAGGCTTGGACGACCTGTCTAGGGTTCAAAGGTTGTAGTAGCTTATCCGAGAAGATCTTGTGATACTGTAAATATTTTATACTTAGGTCAATATCCATGATTTTGAAAGTTGTTGTAGCTCCTTAGGCACCAAAATTCCTCATCTAGAAACTGGATATCAATGAAGTGGGCCACTGAAATTCAGGTTCGGAAACGAGCAATTAGACGTATGTCTCTAGCCTGTATCAAATCAGGAGATTTTACAGGTACTTTAACAAAAGACTCGTGTTGATCAACGAAAGCGTATGCGAGGGATCACTACTCTAAGTCGGCGAGACAGTATCTGTTGGGCAGGATCTCTTATTAACATTAATATCCAATAACACAGCACTTCTCTCTGAGATAAAATTTTACGCTATATCATATCTCATCTGGTTTCTCTGGCTGCCTGCATTTGATCATTCCAAAGCTAACGACTTGGAAGCACACGTCCGAGGCAGGCTCCAAATCCAACGCCAGAGGATAGCTCCCCGGCAATGGCCGTCATCCTAACAATATCTAAGTCTTCAAGGTATTTTCTACGTGTCCCATCAGTCAGAATGACAGGCTCCAAGCCACCCTCAGTTGTTTCCAAAAGGCACCCACGTTGTCCTCTGCCTGGTTCGCTCACTGTACCCGTCGCCAGTATGTCGCCGGTGCGCAGGGGACTCCCTGAGCTAACCGCGTGTGCAATCATCTGTCTCACATTCCAATACAAACTCGAGACATTAGATGTCCCTATAATAGTCGGTGACGCGCTGTCTGTGAGAAGCTCAACTTGCATTTGAATAGAATAGCTCCAGTTGTCGGGGTCTGCTATATATTCCGCGGTTGGCAAGCTTTTTGGCTTCAACTTGACCATGAAGGGCTCCAGAGCTTCTTGGGTTACAACCCATGGCGATATTGAAGTTCCAAAACTTTTCCCATTAAAGGGTCCCAGAGGAGGCATTTCCACTGACTGGATATCACGCGCTAGTTCAGGTTCTTGTCAACAGTTGGCCTTAGAAGAGAAAAGGGGCCACATACCGCTCCAGTCGTTCATTATTACAAACCCAAAGATATGTTTGCCAGCATCCACTGCTGCCACTCCGACTCCTGCCTCTACAGGTGAGCCTACAATCATGGCTAGCTCAACCTCGTAATCAAGGGCCTGCGATGGCCCGTAGACCAAATCTTTCCCTGTGCCATTTCCACTATAATAATGCCCACGGGGTCTCTCTATATCAGTCCCTGAAACATATATCGAGCTAGCTCGGCCATGATAGCCAATGGGGAAGTTAAAGAAGCCAGGTGGTAAGCGATCACTCTTGGCCACAATCCGGCCAGCATTCCGCACATGCTCCAAGGAGCAAGAGTAATCTACATGGGTACTTATTAGACAGGCTTTTAGGTTATCCGAATTGGCACTGGATCCATACCGATAAAGTCACCAGGTTGGACTGGCAGGTGCAAAGTGATTGCTGAAATATCTTCAATGCTCCCATCAGGGAAGCCTGACAGCCCTTTCGCTTCGAAACTTTTTTGTATTGTTTCACGAACTGCTACTCGAATCCGTTTAGGATAAGAAGCAAAATCATTCAGAGACGGTCTTTGGAATGCACTGCTATCCAGACCCGTTATTTCCGCGAACAATCCTGATACAGCCAGATCAAACAGAAATGCAACAGCATTTCCAATTCGCGTCACGACTTGTGCTTGGTTGTGAATTTCGGACGATGCTATTCCAAAAGGAATGTTACGCACAGAAAAGTGTTCTGAAAAATCCGGAGCTGGCATGGCGGCTATTCGAATGAGTCGGCGCTGTTGTAGCTTGGTTGAGCGCTTCCCTTGAAACGATTGTTCTTGAAATATGACTGGAGGACATTAACAATGTGTCTCAATCAGTCAATACATGAGCCTGGATCTGGGTACTTTTACAAATCTCCTTGCATACCTCTAGTACACCTTCCCGAGCCGTGGTGGTTTCCCGAACCGGTGTCGTGCATTTTCGAGGAACTCGCCTCCACTTCCCGACCGCGCAGAAGAACCAGTCAAACTAGATCGCCACGGAAGACATGATAGGGTCGCATTTATCAATGAAGGAAATCTATCCAAGCTAGCAGTCTCTACCCATGTGATATAGCAAAGTTAACCTTCAGCATCAGGCATAATTCACATCTAGCCACCCATCCTTGCTACCGATAAATCGTCTTATTCTATCATTACAACACTTCCAGCAAGATGGCGGAAAGAGGACTCAGTCACCCGAAGCGTTATATCACCACGCATAATGCTAAGGGTCAGGCCATCCTCGATCAATCAATACCCGCAGAAGCGCCTTTCTACACACTTCCTAAAGGAACCGCGGCTTTTGCGCAGTGCTACGTTACCGGGGCATTCCCGACCAGACTTGAGAACGATGAGGATCTCGGGGTGTATCGGGACTACCTTGCTTCTCCTCCCGGTCTGACTGTATCCAACGGCACTGTATTGCGATACGTCGACATGCCACCGGATACTTTGTCGCCAATGCACCGTACCGTCAGCTTAGACTACGGTGTCGTGTTAGAGGGAGATATTGAGCTGGTTCTCGACTCTGGTGAGACGAAGCTGCTTCACAGAGGGGATATCTGCATCCAGCGCGGGACAATGCACGCCTGGCGCAACACGAGCAAGACGAACTATGCGCGGATGCTCTATGTTCTCCAGCCAGCCGACAAGTTTACCATTGGAGGGGAGGAAGCCAAGGAGGACTACGGTGACATGCCTGGTGTAAGGTCTTCTAGCTAGAAATTTGGTACCTATCTAAACTTTTAGGCCTTTTGGTTACGATGAGGAATGAATTTTTCAAATGTGTCGCTCAGATATCACCAAATCAACAATCACTAGGTAGGTAATTGCAAAGACATTGAAATAACCCGAACCTCGCTATAAACGATACTGACCGGTGCGTTAAGCAACAAATTATCAACTTAGTAGCTTGAAGAGGTTCACTTATAGATATCGTGTTCACCCCGCCAGAACAGAAGCCCAGGGTAGAAATCTAGTCCTACAAGACGTTTGCCTGGTAATAAACAAACAGAATTTGCTAGTGATTTGTCTACTGATCACGCCTCTCCTCCAACCCTATACTTAAAGATATTCTTATTTATGCGTCCACCTGATGCTCCCCAAACCTTTGCCATGGTCTTGTTAATTGCGTAGCATGTTAGTTGGATTGCTTTAGATCGATATTTTAGATGAAAGGCTTACAGCATTGATCAAAACTCCCGTGAACATTGTAGTAATAAAGGCTCTCTCAATATTGCTTGTGTATACATTGTACTCCTCCTGGCTCCGTTCGCGATCTGCCGGTCGATATGGAGGAACTCGACGGTGCGTTGTGTCCCAGCCAGGCGGCTGATCAGATCTCGACGGATTTGTATACTCACCGCTCACACGCTCAGTGATATTGGTCTCTCCTCGAGAATGGAAGAGCCTGTAGTCCCTTAGAACTCGGTGGTTCTCTGTAACAGTGTCCGTGACCGTCGTAGAAGCCATTGCGCTGTAGCGAGAGGTGAGTGAGTGGTACGAGTAGGCCTGGTGATGATTGCGTAGGGAATGCCCGTGCCACGGCACTAAATGTCACAGTTGATCTTGAACACTCTGTGTTCCATGCATTAGTAGTCTGCCTGAATGAAGGCTCGGGAAGTGGAGGTTTGTGAGTCGGATGTGGAGGAGCCTCCACATGCCCGGCAATGTCCCGATTCACGGGTACACACTTCCGTGTTACTAGATCCGACGACAAGTCGTTCGTAGAAGTGTGTGTTCTTTCTATAGCCTCTTGAAGCTTGTGTTTCTGTGTTTGAAATTCGCCTTACCTCACACTCCTATCTTTGCTTCTTGGTTCTGACATTTGGCGCCATGGCCGCCGAGCTCCGTGACATCCGATCTGCCGCCATTGATGGCCGAATGCACAATGCTTTCTTCCAGAAAGAACAGCTCAAAAGTTTGCATGATATTCTTTCTAAGAATGTTACCGAAATACAGGATCAGATAGGCAAAGACCATCGCTATACCCAGGCAGAAGCGAGTGTTGAATACTGGCTTGCCTTGAGATGTATTGCTGAAGCATACAAGTCCATAGACCCAAAGCAGCATCTCCAGGCTGAATACGCTATAGCAAAATCTAAGGATGCATCAGACGCTCGAGAACCTGTAGGAATTGTGGTTGTTGAACCGGCTCAACACACATTTTTCTATAGCCTCATTTCAGCCCTTGTGCCAGCTTTAGTCCACGGAAATTGCATCATTATCCAGGTATGCTTATCAACCCGATTCCATGGCATGGCAAAACTTACATATCTGAACCATCATAGGCGGAGAAAACACTTCTTGAGTCTCCGAAATTTATCTTGTCACTCATCGAATCGGCGCTGGATGATCACGTTTTCAAGGTTGTTTATTCGCAGTTGACGGGCGAAGAGATAGCGTCTCGGCACACACGGATCATCCAGAAGCAAGATATCAACCCTCGAGTGATTGCAATTATTGAACGAGATGCAGATCTTCAGCTTGCAGCCAAGGCTATTGCCAGCGCACGATTCAGCCTCAGGGGCAAATCACCCTTTGCGCCAGATTTGGTGTTAGTAAATGAATGGGTTAAGAAGGATTTTCTCAGTGCATTGGTACAGCATACTTCAGCATTTATCTCGGACACTGTTCCCAAAGATCCGGTGCAGAAATTATCGAAGTCAAGATTCCATGACACCATCCTTAAGGAGAACCTCGGCGAGGTAGTCTTCTCCACTTCAGAAGGATATATCTTAAATGTCAAAAATAGGTGAGAGATTCATAATCTTCTTTCTAAAATCCCAGCTAACCTGTTTCGAGGCAATCTCCTATTATTCAATCCAGAAGTGAAGAATGCTATTTGGCCATACATAGCGTCACGAGTATGGATGATGCCATCGACCTGTCACGAAGGTTAGTTCGACTGCCTTATCCATTATATTTGCAGACCGTCTGATTCTTTCTAGTCTTGGTCGCCTTGGAGCTTCTTACATATTTTCAAGTCCTCAGGCTGCAAAGTATATATCCCAGTTCATAGATTCCCAACTCACGTTTGTGAACCATATACCGCCTCAGCTTCTTTGTATGTTGTTTCTCTTTCCCAACCGCACCTACTTCAATCATGCGCTAACAGAATTAGATGAACCAATGGTTCCCTTTGAGACCTCATATCAAACAGGTGTCCAGGCTCGATACTCTCTAAGCCTCTTTTCACTACCGAAACCACAATATATCAATGATACTGACGTGAATCGGAGGCTCCGTGATATCATTTTCAAGCCAGCTGCAAAAGCCCTTCAAGAACTCGACAAAGAAGCCACTAAAGAACTCCCTAAACAAGTTCGCCCAGCTAAGATGGCATACGTAGGATTTTTCGAACAGGGTTTCATCACAGGGGCAGTTCTCATGTTATCCGGAGTTATCCTGGGCCTAGCAACTTTATCCTACCATGGGCATAACTACTTAAGGTCCCGTTCACTCTGATATACGTCTGATTGACCTAGGGAAGATACTTACCGTGTTTAGTCTGTATAATTATATATAAAAGAGATTACTTGTCATAGGATAGTTCAAATCCTCTTGAAAGCATGCCGGTTCGTAGTGAAATTACCCTAAGTTAGGACAACGAAGACAAGTCCGCTATGAGTTTTGCCCACCCTCTTGGTTCATTGGGTTAGAACAGCAATACAGACTTGTTAGTTGCAGTATCGCTCTACTTCCAGTGATCTTCTTCCGAAGATTTAGATCTGGCAAGTTTAGAAATTGGGACCCAGATCTTATCCAAGAGTACAGATGAGGGTTCGAGTACACAGTCATAAAATAACACAGGGAGATGCCAGACCCGACATCTCAATACAATGAATCTTATTCCAGTGTACAACACCTTTACGAGCATTTCCCTCGTTATTTCGAATTCGATGATTCTAATTGGTTCATTTTTATTAATTATTAAATATTATCGTGGTATTTTCTCTTATTCAACCCTCTTGCCCCTTTTCTCCCGGTATAGGGGAACTACAGTCCGTCGGTGATGACGTCCACGCCATATAACCGTGGTAAGACTGCCCTTTTCGAGGTGGCGACTCTAGGCTTTGTACCTGCCATTCGTACGTTGGAAAGTGTAACCCTGCGGCTTGGTCGGGCTGATTTGTGTTAATGGGATCCGGTGGTGCCACTGGGACAACTGAAACTTGTCTCTTCTTCTTCCTTCTCAGTATAAACCAAATCAACAACCCAATAATTACGATTCCTACAATCCCTCCGACGATCGGGCCCGCTATCCATCTAAGATCTCGGTCTTCTGATTTTGAATTGTCCAGGCCGGAATTCAAATCGGATACGTCCGTTTCTGTACTCGAAGTAGAGGCCGTACTGGCTGGGTTTTGGGTCCTCGTCGATGCAATCTCCCCGGTAGTGGTTTTTCTGACTGACGCTTGCGCGCTCGTGTTCGATGTTAACGAAGTGGAAGTGGCGTCCCTGCCGGTAGTAGCTATGTAAAGCGATGCCTGGTGCGGCTCGGCGCTGCAGCCATAGACACTCCGTGGTGACTTGTCGTCTAAGTCTTCGAAGATGAGGGCAGTATAACATACGCTCGCTCCGCTTGGGACTTGTCAGTATAATGTCGCCTTGTTCACACCATTCGAGTTCATTCAAGTACCATTGATATTTTGTCTTCGACGCAACTAGGATTGATTCAGCTTCGCAACTGCTCCATATCGCATACTCTGTAGCGCTTGTGGCTACACAGCCGCCGTATTTACCCTCCCACTTCAATATTGAACCCGGAGGACACGAGCTGGCGCTATCTGTATAGAAGTCGCGATGAGTATTCTCACTTGTAGCGCGCTCTCAAGATAGCTGAACTTACAGCTTCCATCCACCGATGCATATCCTATAACCTCAGAGCCGACAATTTGGCCCGTATCGTCTCTCGCTATCAATGGCGCTGCAGTGATCATTGGCGAGTCGAGCGCGTTCGTGAAAGCCGGATAACCAGGGTAGAGCCCAACGAGGCAGAGGGCCAATTTCATGAGACCGGGTAGTCGCATCTTTTCCGTCATACGATATCGCAAGCTCGATACCTAGGCGCATTCATCGAGACTCCTTGACGACCTCGATGCGCCTCATCAGTATTGTCGACCATTTGGCGCAGTTCTGTGGGAGAGTAGACAAGGTGGAAGGGCGCAGGGGCGCAGGGGAAGGGAAGTAGATTGAATACTGGCAGAGGGAACTCCCCTCTCGACTGCGAAACTACATGCATATTATGTGATCCATCCATGTAACATCCCGAAATTGGAGTCAGTCAAGCCCATTAATTGACAGGCGGGAGCATTCCGAGCTACATGGGCCCATGTCACGACCAGGGGCATCACCGCATCCTCAGGAGAAGCACGAGCCATTTGTTTGAGCACCCCCAGCAGATTCGTATTTCCTTCCTCTCGCGTGGTATAGTGCAACCTAAGAGCCCCAAACAGTATATTGGATCCTGCACATCAGACTTGGCATGAGAAGTTAATTCCTCTCTTGAAAATGTTAATACAAGGCACATCAGGCTCTGCTCAAGCGCCAAAACACTTTCGCGTAATACCTCCCTTTGACAATATACTCTAACGTAGATTATTGATATGCTCTTCATCATGATTATTGAAAAGTATCGATTGAGATCGCCCAATCATTTTCCTATAACGACATCCATGTCAATGTCATAGGGTTGACACCCACGTGCATGTAGGGGCTCTACTCTAAAATTTCACTGAATTTATCACGTGTTGGACCCTAATGCCTGAAAGGCATCAAAGCAATCGCCTTTCAGGAAAGCACTCTTCTTAAAATCTGATTTACAAATCCGGAGATATCTGCCTTCTCTGTGACCAACTTGATCAATACTTTGCCATCCCCTTGATCCTGGACATCAGCAAGCGCAACGACAATGCTACTAAAGTCAGACATGAGTAGCCTGATATGGCAGGTATCACTCACGGTTTCTATTCCCATGTGCATTCCATTATAGGCTCAGCACAGCCTCTGCTCAACTGCTCAACTGAATGCAATTCTCGGTCCCAGGGGATATTTTCATATTTGTTTCATGATTCTGCTAGAGCTCCTCAAGATCCTCGCCGGCAAGGCCGGATGGAAAGGTTTCACGTTACTCCCGAAATAAACATTTCTTCGAAGTTCCCACCCCGGTTTGTTTTGGGGAAGCAAACTCCTTTCAAGGCCCGTTACAATCATGCTACGAGATGATTTCGTTGCATATCTCGGGGTGCCCGTTGCTTCATGCAGATAACAGTTTCATCAATAAGCGAGGTTGGCTTCAGTTTTTCGACCACCTTAAACCATTGAAGAAGGTTCACTTCGACTGGTTTTATGGTAAAGGACCAATATTATCGCAGTGAGCGTGAGCAACTGCGTTTTATTGAAACTAACGCTATATACTACCTTCTTTGTTGAACCTACCACTCCATATCTGACAATCACTCACCAGCAGTGGCCGCCTTTCTCACACGTGGCTCGACAATATGATAAACCCGCCACTCTCACCTCCACACAAAATCTGTCAACTAGGCACTTCAAGACGGTGTTTATTTGTTTCTTGGCTAATTATATACTTGCGTAACTTTTATTCAAGGCTTCTCATCATTAATAAAGGTCACTACCTAGTCGCAGATATGCGCATGATGAGATTAGGTTTCAATTCTATAGCATGTGGGTCCATGGCGTTTCTATTAAAAAGACTCTATCAAACGAAGTCCCCTTTACCCCTTAAACATGGACCATGTCTGCTGCATCACGTTAGCTCAGCCGAAGTCCTGGTCTTGAACATGAAAATCTCGACCACGTTATCGCAACGAAAGTATTGATGCTATTAGCAGATTTACAAGGTCGTAAGCTTCCAGCCGGGTCTAGCTATCATACTGGTAAATAGAGATATTGCATCTCCCGTATGCACAAATCCAGAACGACGGTGTTGAATGTTGGACGGTGGCCATCAGTGGCATCTTCGTATCATGTTGGTTTTAGTAAATGATGCTGAGTAGTGGTTATACCATTGCCCATGAAGATAGCGAAATGAGAAAGATACTCTCGAGGAATTACCAGTTAGAGCAGACATGTCTCGCGCATCAGAAAAGAAAGAGTTCAATTATAATGAAGAAGAAATCTCACTCATCTACTCCACATCTAGAACCCAAGGGCCGACTTCTAGCCTTGCAATAGTTTCACGCTCATATTCGATCGTCAATTGATGCATTACTGAAGGTTTACGTTCGCCGTAGCCGGAACATACTAAGAGTAATGAGCCGTTGCGGGTGGGGCCTATGCACACGCCGCATCGACTACAAGTTAGTATTTGCTATTAGCTCAATTCTGATAACTTGTGTATGTTCTGTTACAGGTCTATTGGTATTATCGGGACTAAGAGCTTTATTTGATGTATCTTGCAGTCTCTCCTGGCAAGTCTTCAAGTCTTCCTCGAAGTGACTACTATGGGGCAGGGACTAGTATTGCATCAACTATACATGGGAGTACTTCATTCACCGGCGGTAACAGAATTCCGTATAGGGAATTGGCATTGTCCACATCTTTATTTAGTCTCATAGCCCCAAAAAAAACTCTGGCTCTAAGGGATCGTTTCTCTTGCCAGTCGGACTTCGACTTATTCAAATACATCAGGGTCGTCACCTTCTGCCCTATTTTGCAGACATCTGAAAATAGGCTTTGGCTTCTACAAAGATAACAATTTGAAATCACTTGTTATCTCTGGCCAGGTAAAAGCCAACGTATCCACGTGAAAGTAAGTTAAAGTTGCCTCGGAAGACTTCTAGAGGGCTACTTATTGCTTTGAAAGGTCTCAAGCGTTATCAAACAGCAGCAGTATCGGAGGCATTTCTTCCAGCGTCTGGGACTACGTTCGCCCTACCTAAAGCAAGTAATCAAGATAGAATAGGAGTTTCAAAAGTATAAGACAGGCGTCCAAGAGCTTTGCTGCTACATCGCTTCTCGGGTAGCTCCATATAAGCAGTAAACGCCACCTTCAAAGATGAGCTCAATCACATTCAAAAAGGCGATGCACTGGCCGGCAACCTCTATATCAGCGGACTAACGGATGTCTCGGCTACAAGCCAAGTCAATGAATGACGAATGAAGCAGCTTTTTTGTAGTTACTTACCTGAGGAGACCAATGAAAAGTTGAAGACTTCTTCACAAAATTGACATAACAAATGATGATGGTACAACTCCAAAAATCACCCAACTTGTTTGAGGAAATAATGAGCCCAACTACCAATAAAATACCAGATATGCGAGCGATAATTCGAAGCGAGATATACGGTATATGTTCAACCTCTTTGCGCAGAAACTTACTCATCGTGATTCATATATATCTCCCCCCCCCACAAGCATGAGAACATCACAGCTATACAAGTAAGCCTATAAAGTAATTCTTAAGTTCGTAAATATTGATATATCTAGACAGCTTCTGGCGCCCCCAGTCCATTGAACCCCAGTCGTTATCATTTTGCAGAAATAAGCAACTTCTAATTCACATAAACACCTTGAGAGAATCCGACATATAACACCAAACTCGGTATTCAGAAAATTTTCTTGACTGGGAGAAAATTATCATATTCCTTGATTCTCGTAGTACAGAGATCCTAGTATATTTGCACAAGTAGTAAAGTTAAAATTCATGTATCTACTCAGCAACCTACAATTCGGAATATCCAGTCTCGAGGAAGCCGTTGGTAACTATTAAGCCGCCAAACGCCAGGCAAGCGTACCCAGTATACCATAGTTCTACAGACTGCCATAAATTCTACTGAATCCCTAAACTAAATCCTTAACACCATTCCAAGCCGTTGTTAAATAGGACATTCGTCCTTGATTCTAACTCTCTTAAGCTTAATCGGGGAGTGCTTTCAAGTTCTAGCTGGGCGTATTGTACATGAAATTTTGTCACGCGTCCATTAAAAGACTTGATTGATTTCTTAAGACTTCTCGTATTGCCTCTAATAGTGGGTAGACTCGTCGCTCCAGAAGATGGCTTTGGTAACATGGCAAGAATCTCACCAGCGAAATGCTATCGATAGGACCTCTCTCAACACTCTATCGGAGCCTGAAGGATACCATTAATGGTTTTCAACGTATTTGATACTAGCTGAAGGTAACCTCATAGAGCATGGCCAGGTTACGAATTCAGGGTCCGGGCGGCTCCGGGGTCCGAAGTAGGTCCTCTTAGTACCTAGCCACCGCAATAGAAGAATCTCGGAGGACCTAGTATCCTTCCCTGCCTCACTTTCTTTGACTGATTTGATGATAAACGCTTGGCCGCGTGTCATACTTTTCAAACTTCCCACTTTGCTGGGTGGCAAGCCGGCCGATGCGGAGCCGGAACGACTGTGCCGAATGCCACCTCCACAATGATTGCGGCATCCATGATGAAATGAGATTTGATTACTGTAGGCCACAAAAGGCCCTGGAATCCTCTCCGCTGATAAGCCGGCCCAGCCATCGTCCCATTGCTCCAGAGGAACCTTTGTTCTGGCTGCGAACAAGTCCGTCCCCTGCGCTCTCTTCGTCGATCAGAATTTGGCCTAACCACAACAAACAGAACACAAGGATTCATATCCTAGATACTTGCTCATTGACGGGCATGATTGAATCAGCCGTTTGATACTTTTTGTCGCCCAACTTATCCTCAATTGAGTCCTGGGAAAACCTCGTCGCCTTCTCCGAGCATCATTGCCGAAGCGGGACATATGCACAATTGTCCCTTTGCTTTGGCCTCTTGCGGAAGGAGGAGGCAAACTTGTCCTGGGCATTGCTATGAGGCTAAATATACCACCTGCCTACTGCGACGATTGAGGGGAGGGATCTTTTCGAATCTCCCCACAGTCTCGTGCCTGGATTATACCTTGGTTCTGCGCAGGCCTTTGGATTGGACAATGCAGCGAGGATCATGCGTGTTGCCTCGACGGATCCTCGGATAAGGCCTGATTGGTATCGCATGCAATTGATTTTATGTAGCACGAATAAAAGCACGCTCGCCTGC